GAGGTGACTAGTTCAATCTGGGGCAAATGGGAATCACGGGGTAAAACCCAAATTGTATGTCTCGACAGTGCGTTAAATTTTTTTTTTCTTTTTAGAAAAAAAAAAAAAAAAAAAATTACAGGTACTCGCCACACAGTGTTCAATACATGGTACTCATCGCGTGGGCAACTGCTGATCTGTTGGCGACTTCTGCTACCATCCATGATGAACTGCAATTCTAATACTGTGATAAACATTCTGTGTGTTTTTCGTTGGCGCAGGAGCGGAGCAAAGATGGGGTGACCCGTTTGCTATGAAGCTGAAACTAAGACTACCAGACCAGACATGGTACTCGTCAAACAGTGTCTTTAAGATATGAAGCCCTAAACAGGGTCACCAACTGAAAAAAGGAAGACGTTGGGTGGGGCAAGCTGAGGACATAATTACATGAGAGGAGTTGATCAAAGCGTCCGAGCAACAACACGATTTGTGTAACTGACTGACTGACTCTCAAACACCCAATGACAGAATGTGCCACCATGCCGATGAGGATCACCGTGGAGAGGTCCCAGATACCGCGTTCAGCCTTTAGGCCATATTTAAGGACGGGCTATATTGCAGCCCCTGACAAGAGCCAGAGTAGTGCTTCAAATAACGAAAAATTGCATCCCAAAAAGGACTGAAAGTGATACTAACGATGTGTGTAGAGTTCCAATCATATTAGGCCTTAAATGTAGGGAAGTGGCTAAGTGCAACAACGCCTAGAATATGATACGACAACATCTAGTTTAAAGAAAAATGAGGAGGAGGAGAAGAAGAAATTAAGAAGAAGAAGAAGAAGAAGAAGAAGAAGAAGAAGAAGAAGAAGAAGAAGAAGAAGAAGAAGAAGAAGAAGAAGAAGAAGAAGAAGAAGAAGAAGAAGAAGAAGAAGAAGAAGAAGAAGAAGAAGAAGAAGAAGAAGAAGACAAGAAAAGAAGAAGAAGAAGTAAAAGAAAAAACAGAATGGAGGTGAAGACGGCCGCAGCAGATATCCGCTGGCGTTAGAAGCAACTGCACACACGTCTTGCCGTGATTATATCTGACTCACAGTGCACGGTAAAAGACATATATACCCCATGCAGAATGGCAAGCATATTGTCAGAGGTCTTTGATAGCTTCCTTTGTATATTTTCTACAGGTATTTCGGTGTTTTGGGAGAGGAACAGGTAGAGAGACGAGTTGATTCTGCACCAGTTGACAAGGTTGGTATTGTTAGGGCCCTTAGGGAAGAAACAGTGCAGAGGTACAAACGAACAGATTATCAAGGCCTGAAGAGAATGGTGCTGTGTGGAATAGCCAGGGGTCTGGCAGACGCTCAACACTCAGGAAATAAGAGAGACGGACATAGAATAAAACTGTTTGAAACACTGCGCATGCTGCCGAAATTAGGGACCGAGTACTTATGGGAATGTCGCGAGTACTATAATGACAGTTTCTAACTTTCAACAGTCTTTTAAACTGGTACATGCAAATAAATTCATACAATGGTACTGCTAAGGAGTAACATTGTGTAAACAGAACGGATATGAAGGATGGGATAGAAAAGTCTGGGTATAGTCGGAGCTAGCAGATCTGAACATCAAAGAAAACTGGCTCGTAAACAGCATCTTGTCTCAGAAAATGAAATATTTTGGCCATATCATGCGCTGCAGTGGAGTGGAGAGAACAGTGGCGTGAAGAGAACAATGGAGTGGAGAAAACAGTGGAGTGGAGAGAAAAGTGGAGTGGAGAGAAAAGTGGAGTAGAGAGAACAGTGGCGTAGAGAGAACAGTGGAGTAGAGAGAACAATGGAGTGGAGAGAAAAGTGGAGTGGAGAGAACAGTGGAGTGGAGAGAACAGTGGCGTAGAGAGAACAGTGGAGTGGAGAGAACAGTGGAGTGGAGAGAAAAGTGGAGTGGAGAGAAAAGTGGAGTGGAGAGAACAGTGGCGTGAAGAGAACAATGGAGTGGAAAGAACAGTGGAGTGGAGAGAAAAGTGAAGTGAAGATAACATTGGAGTGGAGAGAACAATGGCGTGGAGAGAACAGTGGCGTGGAGAGAACAATGGAGTGGAGAGAAAAGTGAAGTGAAGATAACATTGGAGTGGAGAGAACAGTGGAGTGGAGAGAACAGTGGAGTGGAGAGAACAGTGGAGTGGAGAGAACAATGGAGTGGAGAGAACAGTGGAGTGGAGAGAACAGTGGAGTGGAGAGAACAGTGGAGTGGAGAGAACAATGGAGTGGAGAGAACATTGGAGTGGAGAGAACAGGGGAGTGGAGAGGAAAGTAGAGTGGAGAGAACAGTGGAGTGGAGAGAAAGGTGGAGTGGAGAGAACATTGGAGTGAAGAGAACAGTGGAGTGGAGAGAACAATGGAGTGGAGAGAACAGTGGAGTGGAGAGAACGGTGGAGTGGAGAGAACAGTGGAGTGAAGAGAACAGTGGAGTGGAGAGAACAATGGAGTGGAGAGAACATTGGAGTGGAGAGAACAGGGGAGTGGAGAGGAAAGTGGAGTGGAGAGAACAGTGGAGTGGAGAGAACATTGGAGTGGAGAGAACATTGGAGTGGAGAGAACAGTGGAGTGAAGAGAACATTGGAGTGAAGAGAACAGTGGAGTGGAGAGAACAGTGGAGTGGAGAGGAAAGTGGAGTGAAGAGAACAGTGGAGTGGAGAGAACAGTGGAGTGGAGAGAACAGTGGAGTGGAGAGAACAGTGGAGTGAAGAGAACAGTGGAGTGGAGAGAACAGGGGAGTGGAGAGAACAGTGGAATGGAGAGAACAGTGGAGTGGAGAGAACAGTGGAGTGGAGAGAACAGTGAAGTGAAGAGAACAGTGAAGTGAAGAGAACAGTGAAGTGGAGAGAACAACGAAGTGAAGAGAACAGTGAAGTGAAGAGAACAGTGGTGTGGAGAGAACAGGGGAGTGGAGAGGACAGTGGAGTGAAGAGAACAGTGAAGTGAAGAGAACAGTGAAGTGGAGAGAACAGTGAAGTAAAGAGAACAGTGAAGTGGAGAGAACAGTGGAGTGAAGAGAACAGTGAAGTGGAGAGAACAGTGAAGTGAAGAGAACAGTGAAGTGGAGAGAACAGTGGTGTGGAGAGAACAGTGGAGTGGATATATCAGTGGAAAGGAGAGAACAGTGGAGTGGAGAGAACAGTGGAGTAGAGAGAACAGTGGAGTAGAGAGAACAGTGGAGTGGAGAGAACATTGGAGTGGAGAGAACAGTGGAGTGGATATATCAGTGGAGTAGAGAGAACAGTGGAGTAGAGAGAACAGTGGAGTGGAAAGGGGGGGGGGGGAAGTACAGTGTTTATTATAGAATTTCTGTGATAAGACCGACATTCTGTGATGAGACCGACGTTCTGTGATGAAATTGACGTTCTCTGATGAGATTGACGTTCTCTGATGAGACCTGAAAGGTTCTTTTATGAAACCGACGTTCTATGATGAGACTTGCGTTCTGTGATGAGACCGACGTTCTATGATGAGACTGGCGTTTTGTGATGAGACTGACTTTCTATGAGACTGGCGTTCTATGATGGGACCTTCGTTCTATGATGAGACCGGCGTTCTATGAAGAGACCGACGTTTTGTGATGAGACTGATATTTTTTAAAGAGACCGACTATTTGCGATGAGACTGACGTTCTGTGATGAGACTGGCGTTCTGTGACGAAACCGACGTTCTGTGAAAAGACTGACGTTCTATAATGAGACCGCCGTTCTGTGATGAGACCGATGTTTTATGATGTGACAGAGGTTATATGATGAGACCGAAGTTTTGTGTTGAGACAGATGTTTTATGATGAGACCGACGTTTTGTGATGAGACAGACATTATATGATGAGACCAACGTTCTGTGATGAGACTAAGCTTCTTTGAGGAGACCGACGTTCTATAATGAGACCGGCGGTTTGTGAGGAGATCGACGTTATGTGATGAGACAGACATTCTATGATGAGATTAACGTTCTGTGATGAGACTAACGTAATGTGATAAGATAGCGTTCTGTGATAAGATCGACGGCCTGTACAGGATCTGATGTATGATGATGAAAATGATAATGGGATTACTGCTGATGAAATAACAGTTAGTAGATGACAGTTTTCACATGCTTCGTACTCTCAGCGGGCGTAACGGCTCACACAGCATAAGATGATAACCCTCGACCAGTTATGGTCGTTCAGATGTTTATATGGAAGAAATTCTTCTTCTTTGCGTCCTCTTTTTAGAGCTTCGAGTGTCGAGGGCGATATAAAGTCCTGCTTTCTGCTCTTCTGGCTGCTTCGATCATAGACACAGGGTAGTTTCTCTGATGTTATCTGCCTATCGTGTTTTTGGTCTACCTCTTGCTCTAAGTCCTTCTCCCTTTTTGGTATATGCCTTGAATGATTCATCATCAGAAGGCATTCACCATTTGATTTGCTCCTTATCTCTGTATGTAGTTTAGAGTTAGTTCTGAGCCGACTTTATCTCGTATGAACTCATTCCTGTGACATGACATGATCAACAGTACATGAAACACATCACTGTGACAAGACATGATTACCAGTACATGAAACACATCACTGTGACAAGACATGATTACCAGTACATGAAACACATCACTGTGACAAGACATGATTACCAGTACATGAGATACATCACTGTGACAGGACATAATCACCAGTACATGAGACACATTACTGTGACAAGACATGATCACCAGTACATGAGACACATCACTGTGACAAGACATAATTACCAGTACATGAAACACATCATTGTGACAAGACATGATTACCAGTACATGAAACACATCACTGTGATAAGACATGATTACCAGCACATGAGACACATCACTGTGACAAGACATGATCACCAGTACATGAGACACATTACTGTGACAAGACATGATCACCAGTACATGAGACACATCACTGTGACAAGACATAATTACCAGTACATGAAACACATCACTGTGACAAGACATGATTACCAGTACATGAAACACATCACTGTGATAAGACATGATTACCAGTACATGAGACACATCACTGTGACAGGACATGATCACCAGTACATGAGACACATCACTGTGACAAGACATGATCACCAGTACATGAGACACATCACTGTGACAAGACATGATCACCAGTACATGAGACACGTCACTGTGACAAGACATAATCATCAGTACATGACACACATCAAAGTGACAAGACATGATCACCAGTACATGAGACACGTCAATGGGACAAGAAATGATCACCAGTACATGAGACACATCACTGTGACAAGTTTTGATCAACAGTACATGAGACACATCACTGTGACAAGACATGAACAACAGTACATGAGACACATCACTGTGACAAGAGATGATCCCAAGTACATGAGACACATCACTGTGACCAAACATGATCACCAGTACATGAGACACATCACTGTGACAAGACATGATCACTAGTACATAAGACACATCACTGTGACAGGACATGATCAAAAGTACATGAGACACATCACTGTGACAAGACATGATCAACAGTACATCAGACACATCACTGTCACAAGACATGATTAACAGTACATGAGACACATCACTGTGACAAGACATGATCACCAGCACATGAGAGACATCACTGTGACAAGACATGATCACCAGTACATGAGACACATCACTGTGACAAGACATGATCACCAGTACATGAGACACGTCACTCACTGTGACAAGACATGAGATCATCACTGTGACATGAGACACATCACTGTGACAAAGACATGATCACCAGTACATGAGACACATCACTGTGACAAGACATGATCACAAGTCACATGAGACACAATCACTGTGACAAGACATGATCACCAGTACATGAGACACATCACTGTGACAAGACATGATCACCAGTACATGAGACACATCACTGTGACAAGACATGATCACCAGTACATGAGACACATCACTGTGACAAGACATGATCAACAGTACATGAGACACATCACTGTGACAAGACATGATCAACAGTACATGAGACACATCACTGTGACAAGACATGATCACCAGTACATGAGACACATCACTGTGACAAGACATGATCACCAGTACATGAGACACATCACTGTGACAAGACATGATCAACAGTACATGAGACACATCACTGTGACAAGACATGATCACCAGTACATGAGACACGTCACTGTGACAAGTCATAAGTCACATGTATCACCACACATGAGACACATCACTGATAAACAAGATGAGATACATCACCAGTACAAGAGATGATCACATCACTGTGACATCACTGACCATGATGACCAGTACATGAGACACATCACTGTAACAAGACATGATCACTAGTACACGAGACATATCACTGTGACAAGACATGATCACCAGTACATGAGACACATCACTGTGACCAGACATGATCAACAATACATGAGACACATCACTGTGACCAGACATGATCACCAGTACATGAGACACGTCACTGTGACAAGACATAATCACCAGTACATAAGACACATCACTGTGACAAGACATGATCACCAGTACATGAGACACGTCACTGTGACAAGACATGATCACCAGTACATGAGACACATCACTGTGACAAGTTTTGATCAACAGTACATGAGACACATCATTGTGACAAGATGATCAACAGTACATGAGACACATCACAGTGACAAGAGATGATCCCAAGTACATGAGACACATCACTGTGACAAGACATGATCACTAGTACATGAGACACATCACTGTGACAAGACATGATCACCAGTACATGAAACACATCACTGTGACAAGTTTTGATCAACAGTACATGAGACACGTCACTGTGACAAGACATGATTAACCGTACATGAGACACATCACTGTGACAAGACATGATCACCAGTACATGAGACACATCATTGTGACAAGACATGATCACCAGTACAAGAGACACATCACTGTGACAAGACATGATCACCAGTACATGAGACACGTCACTGTGACAAGACATGATCACCAGTACACGAGACACGTCACTGTGACAAGACATGATCACCAGTACATGAGACACATCACTGTGACAAGACATGATCACCAGTACATGAGACACATCACTGTGACAAGACATGATCACCAGTACATGAGACACATCACTGTGACAAGACATGATCAACAGTACATGAGACACATCACTGTGACAAGACATGATCAACAGTACATGAGACACATCACTGTGACAAGACATGATCACCAGTACATGAGACACATCACTGTGACCAAGAGATGATCACCAGTACATGAGACACATCACTGTGACAAGACATGATCACAAGACAAGTACATGAGACACATCACTGTGACAAGACATGAATACCAGTACATGAGACACATCACTGTGACAAGACATGATCACCAGTACATGAGACACATCACTGTGACAAGACATGATCAACACTACATGAGACACGTCACTGTGACAAGTCAAAATCACCAGTACATGAGACACATCAATGTGACAAGACATGATCACCAGTACATGAGACACGTCACTGTGACACATCACATGTGACACATCACTGTGACATGATGATCAACAGTACATGAGACACATCACTGTGACAAGACATGATCAACAAGGAGATGATACATGAGACACATCACTGTGACAAGACATGATCACCAGTACATGAGACACATCACTGTGACAGGACATGATCAACAGTACATGAGACACATCACTGTGACAAGACATGATCACCAGTACATGAGACACATCACTGTGACAAGACATGATCACCAGTACATGAGACACATCACTGTGACAAGTGTTGATCAACAGTACATGAGATACATCACTGTGACAAGACATGGTCAACAGTACATGAGACACATCACTGTGACAACAACAGTACATGAGACACATCACTGTGACAAGACAAGAGTACATGATGCAGGACAAGTACATGAGACACATCACTGTGACCAAACATGATCACCAGTACATGAGGACACATTAACTGACACATCACTGTGACAACTGTGACAAGTGATCAACAGTACATGAGACACATCACTGTGACAAAGGAACATGACATGAGACACACCAGTACATGAGACACATCACTGTGACAAACATGACATGATCACCAGTACATGAGACACACACATCACTGTGACAAGACATGATCAAGTACATGAGACACATCACTGTACATGAGACACATCACTGTGACAAGACATGATCACCAGTACATGAGACACATCACTGTGACAGGACATGATCAACAGTACATGAGACACATCACTGTGACAAGACATGATCAACAGTACATGAGACACATCACTGTGACAAGACATGATCACCAGTACATGAGACACATCACTGTGACAGGACATGATCAACAGTACATGAGACACACCACTGTGACAAGACATGATCACCAGTACATGAGACACATCACTGTGACAAGACATGATCACCAGTACATGAGACACATGTAGTTTTTGTTGCTGCTGTTGTGGTGATAATAGACTTTTGTGGGAAAGGGGGGGGGGGGGATGATGCAGTAGTTGTAGTAACGGAGGAAGAGACAATAGCAGCAGCGGTAGCATTAAGACGATTCGGCAACCTTGATAGTTCAAGGCAAACAAAACTACTACGCCACAAAGATTCTAGCCTACACTTTTGACCATCTGCTGTCTTTATTGCTCCAAAACTGCCTGCTCTCACATCCTTTAAGAGGTCATCGCTTGGCTCATAATCATCTAATTAACCCGGTTGACGAGTAGTTCTCATTTCTCATAATTGACGAACAAACCATGAAGTGTGCTAATCAGTTAAACAGATGTTCGACTCATTTTCTACTTCAGTCATTGTTATGTTACAATATTACTTTTACAAGTAGAAGGGAGATTTGCACATTTTATTCTACGCGGTAAAATTACAAGAACACAGATTTCAGTTGTAAAACAGGTTATTGCAGAGAAAATTGAAATGGAATAATGATGACATGGATAGATAGGTGGATAGATAGTTTGATCGACGTGTGGATGGATAATAAAAATATGGATGTCTTGATAGATTATTCTACAGATGGATAAATAAATAGATGGCCAGTCAGACAGACAGATACATATTCAAAATGACAGATGGACTGATTGATTTATGGGATATTTTTAACAAACGAACTAACGAATGAAGGAACAAACTTAATTTTCAAAGGGTTAAGAATTAGGCACGCAGGCCCGTCTAAGTTTATGCTTTTCCAGTCCATTCCTTGCTTATAGTTATTCGCTCGTACATCATTTTATAGTTAATAATAATAATAAAAAACAATTCTACACCCGTCTTAACTGAAAACGCTGGAATATGCTCTGATTAAAGTTACATTACCGAACCTTTCAAAAAGTATAGTAATAAACCTAGCCAGATAACTAGACAGGTGTATCCGTAGACCAATCAACCTATTGATAGAAAGACACACATACATAAACAAACAGACATTCAGGCAAACAGACTGACCGACGGATGGACAGACTGACAGATTAGAGACTACTAAATTATTAGGCTAAACTGTAATCCGGTCAGACTGTCTGGCAAGCAGACAAGCAGACAAACAGACAAGCAGACAAGCAGACAAGCAGACAAACAGCCGAATGTATGGATTGATTAACTAAAGGATGAACAGACCGATAGGCGGTCTGGCGGGTAGGCCAGCAGACACATAGCCAGACGGACAGATTCGTTAGAGGATTAATGAATATCCAGACAGACAGGTGGTCTCATTCTGTTGATTAGATGTAGATTTTGCTGCCCATCTCATTCCGTTGATTAGATGTAGATAGGCTTTTTTGCAGCTCGTCTCATTGTGTGGATTAGATGTAAATAGGCTTTTTTGCTGCCCGTCTCATTGCGTTGATTAGATGTAGATAGGTTTTTTTTGCTGCCCTCTCATTGCGATGATTAGATGTAGATAGGCTTTTTTTTTTTTTTTCTGCCCGTCACATTGCGTTGATTAGATGTAGATAGGCTTTTGTTTGCTGCCCGTCTCATTGTCTGGATTGGTTTTGAAACAAGGGCTATTTTATAACACCACCACCTTCCCCCACACGCGCCTGAGTAGTTTTTGAGACGTCTAGACTCTTCAGACAAAGGCGAAAATATACGTCAATGTGGTTTGCCTATTGAAAATAAGTCCACGGTGGGAAAATAAAAATATGAGCTTAGTTCTTTAGGTACCAACAAACTCACCATGCGTTTCTTGGACATGACAGAATTGAAATAATCTTCCTACTGTCTTCTTCCATCGTCAGGTGTTACATTAACACTTTTTTTTTATCTGAAAAATTAGTTTAACTATACTTGCCCCATAGTGTTAGTTTTAATTGCTATCAAGCTCAGGTTCTTGCCATAGAAGGGGTTAAAATAATATTTGCTCGGGACTAAAGGAGTTAGGCTTTTAAGTAGTAACCAATAGAGGCAGTGGGGACTGGGCTAATTCTGACTTCTGTGCTATGTTTTAGTATACAGACGGGAGAAGTAGACTACAAATATCTAGAGAACTACTGGCCACATTAGACAAGGTAGCAGAGTTGTGTGAGGAAACAGTTTCTAGATAAAGAAACAGTATTGTGGTGTTCATAAAATGATATAATTTTTAGAGGCGAGGTTGCGAATATTACAATAAATCGTTGTAATATAAAGAGAGAGAATTC